TCCTGATTTGGAGTTGGAATGATTTAATGGAGTCAGAAGAAATAATCTTTCCATATAATAATCATAGGGCTAATTTTGTTTCCTGCTCAGTTTTCCCAAGCAGCAATTACAGAACTAGTGGGAAGTGGGTTTGACAGGTGCCTGCTGTCTCAAGTTTTGAGTAGCATTTAGTTTTACAGCTCCCAGGGAGTGTTTCTTTTAATTCAAAGGCTTGGCAAAGCTAAGGGCAATGAGAAGATATTAGCATGCCTGGAAAGTAAGGAGAGAGATGCAGATTTATTTTGAAATTTCTTGCAATAAACATTATTGAACAAAGTGGGTGGGGTTTGGGTTTGACTTGGATTTTTCTAGAAATGGAAATTTTAGTCTCTCATGTTTGTTAGTGGAAACTTTTATGTGCAAACTGGAGATTGGATTTTTCTAGTCTATAATTAGAGAATTTAATCAACAAATATAACAAAAGGTCTCAATAAAAGTACAGCTTCTAAAGGCAGAAGAAGTAATTTCTCATAGTTTTATATGGTTACTGTAAAAACAAAATAATCTTTTAATCCCTTGTATAAAAGTAGCGAAAAATTTCTGACTTGCTAATTCTAGAGATCAGGAACTTTGTCTTCCTGGGCTGTTTTCCAGCCTGGAGAATATTCTACTTCTCATGTGAATTTTCGATAATATTAGCATATTTTGTGGATAATTTATGCATTTCATATAAGCCTTAGTTTAAATCTTTTTAAAAATTCAAATAATATGACTATATAAAGAAAAATCATCAACACCACATAAGGAAAAGCAAATGGAAGTGTCATTTTTTTAATGGAATGATCATCTGGTGCTGGTAATACAGGAAGACATGGTTTGATAGTGCAGTATGATGGAATAACAACTGAAATGAAGTGTCACTGTACAGATATTACCAGGGAGTAGGAGCAGTAGACATCTCAAGTACAACTGAGAAAGACAAGAGACTTTTAAAGCCTTACTGAATCTTTAAAGATCACTAATGGTTCTAGCCCTATTAGATGCATAAGCTGGATGCTGACTGACCAGAGTTCTGTTTTCCGGGTAGTAATGATAGCACATGTCATGCTTTTAGTCTTCTCTCTTCCTGTGGCTTACTCTGTATTTTGGCATACTGGGACATAGACATCATATAAAAATAGTCTAGAGAAATAAAATTAATATGAAATATTTTATTCTGCAATTTTTATTTATAGGTAATTATCATATCCTCCATATTTAAATATATTGTAGAAGCTTAAAGAATGTAACTTTTGGTACCATGTTGTGTTTTGGGTTTTTTTTTTAATCATCTGATTTATGTATTTCAATGAACCAAAACTGGTTAAATATAAGAATAGCTTTATATTATATTAGTTTCACTTCAGCTGAGTAACCATAGGAAAAAAGTTTTAGGAAGGGCCATTATCAAAATAATCTTTGGGAAGCTAGATGGTAGTGACCTCTTTTTGCCTGATGTGACCCATCGTGGAAGGCTGAAGCCCCCACCCCTCAATTAAAGCTTCTCTAGACCAGAGGGTGTGACTAGTTGGCAGAGGTGGATGCAAAGTGTCAGTCTGTGACTGACACCCTGTAGTTTCTTACAAATGTGAATTGAGCTCTGTAAACACTGATTTTGTTCATTTTGGCTTATTCCGGTTGGAGGCTAAATCTGTGAAATTTGGAAGTGACGGTAGGTCTTAATGACTTACTCTAGATAACATTGAATGTGCCCGTTTGCCAGAATGTCTGCCTTCATACACGAAGTGTGGAATAATCTGTATGAATTTTGGGGATTTGGGTTTTTTTTTCTCTTTAGACTTTCTGATACGTGGTGCAAACTCTTGCATTGGCTTTTGAGAGCCAGTTCCATCCAAATACTGCATTTTCAATCTTTCGATATGAAGAGATGTTTTTTCAAGCTTGTATATTTAGTTGTGTTGGTAGAATCAGCTTGAAGGTGGAACCAGTGATTTCTTCCACTGTGACTAACCCTGATCTTTCTCCACAAACATTCCTTTAATTAACTAAACTGATGCTAACTCATGATTCGTTCCTTCTTTCCAAAAGATTAGGTTTTGGGGGGGGGGGGGGTTGTGTCCTTCTCACAGTATCTTTTGCTGCTTTGTGATATATTTCTTCTTTATTACAGGAACACTTACACAGAATGAGATGATATTTAAGCGCCTCCATCTAGGTACTGTGTCCTATGGAACAGACACAATGGATGAAATACAGAGTCATATTATAAACTCTTATTCACAGGTATCGCGTTTCATAAATTGTTTACCTTTAATATTGAGATTTTTTCTTAACATCATTGAAGCATTGTTGTTACTGATTATGTCTAGAAATTTGAGATGCTATGAAAGTTCTTTCATTTGTAGGTCTCTCCCAACAGATATGATGAAAGGGAAAAATGTGTGACAGTACATAGTTCTCTCATGATTCTAAAGTTCCTCATAGTACGCTCTTAAAGTAGTTTACTTTTCTATTGCCCACTAGCAGAAATCTGTGTTAACCTGTCTGTGCAGTGCAGTCTTTCTCCTCCCAGATCATCTAAGCATAAGCTATTCATTACTGAGTCTACAAATTACAAAGTGTCCAGAACAAGGCGAACAGTAATTACATCTTTAAAGATATTAATCAAAAATAGACATCGAAAAGGCATATTAATTGGTATAACCAAAAAGTAAAATAATGGTTGTAAAAATAAAATTTATTAAGGCATATCTAAAAAGTATTTTTTAAAAAAAATTAAGATGATTGCAAACAGCATAAAACTGGGGGGGGGAGAAAGCTGAAAACTCCATATTGCTTGAGAGTGAAGTGTTCCTGTGATATATGAGTGCTTGATCTGGAACGTGTAAAAGTGGCTCTCTGTGGGTCAGTTGTGGAATGAAGGAGGAAGATGGAATTCTGCAAGGATCACTTGCATCTCCCATGTATGTAAACTATTTGGGTGCTTTCTGCAAACCTTTCTAAGCATCTGATTCAACTCTGAGGTTAGGAAGGATTTTTTACTTTATTTTTTATTTCTGTTCTTAAAAAAAAGACGACAATTAACAGAAGAGGAAATAAATTATAGGTTAGCTAATATTTCCATATGTTGCATACAGTATGATAATAAAACTTTTATATAAAGTTCTTTTCCATAGTTAACTTGGATACACAAACATGACTGGCTGACCCAGTTAAGTTTGTAGACTGACCTCCTTGTCTATGTCCTCTTTTTCTCTTGTAAAAAGATTGTAGGATCAACAATTGATTTGAGTCTTTAGTTGTGCTGTGTTTTGAACTGTAGCTCCCTTCTCATTTGCTCAAAATAGTAAAAGTAGCTGTTTGACACCACGCTAGACTCAGTTAATATGTAGCTTTTGGGAAGACAGGTGGGAGGGAAAGCAGTGAATGAGCAATGTACATTATAAGTTTTTAGTCTGCAACTTCAATTCCTGTATTATTTCCCATCTAAACAGATCAACAAATCCACTTCTTGAATCCCTTTCCTTGGATAAATCTGTTTCAGCTTCATTCTTAGTAGGTTTAGTCATGAATAGTAATTGAGATGCAATAATACGCCTTGGAAATGAGATAGGGAGCTCTTTTACCTGAAGATCAGCAGTCTAAATTCAGTTCAGAATGGGTTACTGAAAGTGTTTATAAAAATTACCCAAACATAGTTTTGTTATAATGGGATGTTTGGATATTCACAGTAACAACTGTAGCAATAAATAATATTAACTGGCAGTCTTGAGCTGGCACACCTAGATCTGACTAAGTTTGATGACTAAGCACCAGCCTTCTAGAGGAGGCGGATTCATTAACAATATTTTCATATTTTGTGGTTAAATATGCTATCTGAAAAGAGTTGCGTGATTCATGGAATTCCTACTTGCTTAAAGCTTTTACTAATTTGCTGTAAAATTTAATGAGTGGTCCCCATGGTTAATTGAGTTTTTAATAACTGTAACATATTTGGCACTGAAATTCTTAGAAAGAAATGTGAGGGAAGCTTTTTTTTTTCCTCAGTTGTGGGAAAAGATTTCCCAAATCTGGGTTTGCTGTTAGTAGACAATGAGAAGAACTTTCTCAGAAGTTCTTTTTTCAGCTTTTTGTAACACTACTTGATGTTTAAATAATGCTTTAATTATGCGTGTGTTGGTAGCAACTCTTTAAAACAGAAAAATGAAGGAGTCTCAGTAACAAAACAAGAAAGTATTAAACAATTGTTTCAATCTGAAAAAGTATGGTGAGGTTTTTAATTTAATCTATGATAATAGAAGCTGCCAGTTAGCTAGGCAGTGGTTCTTGTGTGACATTGATTTTATCCCTTGTTTGTGTTCTGTTTTATTATTACAGTGGACCTACTAGACTATTGTCATCTTAATGTAACACACAAATCTATTATAACCTGATTATATTTCCCCACTGGAAGCATTTTGTGATAGAGGGCATAATCTTTAATGGAATTTGTGTGAAATTAAATTATACAAGCATCAATAAACATAACATAATTCAGAAGGAGTAAATCAGCTTAATTTATTTGCGGCTGTAATGGCATCAGTGTTAGCAGAATGCAAATGCAGAGGTTTAAAGCAGTAGCTGAAAAGCAGTGCCAGATGAGCAGAAAGTTAAACCCTTTATTAGACAACACTGTAATTTGATGGGCAGAATGTTCACGGTTTTTGCAGTCAGGAGGAAAAAAGCGTCATTTCTGAAGAGGTTTTCTGAGTTACCCTGGAGTGAACAGAAGAGCCTTTGGTAGTACTGCTGATATATTTAATGTGCCAACTTAAAAAATGAAAACCAAAAAACAATAAAACCCAAAACAAAAAAAACAAACCCACTTATTTTCAACTAATTATAAACATATAGTACTTTTTCTTAAAAGATTAATTCAATCATGTGCTTGAGCGTTTCTGAAGGGTAACTTAAAGTAGTGCTAGTTTAGTAGTTACACAGCAGTAATGTGATCTTCAAGTATGTGTCAAACTATTATTTTGGATCATTATTTTATTATTGCATTCTTGTAAGGACAAACAAATTTCAGCCTGCAGCAAAAGCACACAAACTGCATTAGTTCACAAATAATATAGAAATTGTGTAGGTTATAAATTAAATCAGCGACATTTGTATTTTAATGACTGCTAATATTTATAGTTAAGAATTATACTTGCTTTTGTTCTTTTGTTCCATACCGATGTGGTGGTCTTTAAAATACAGAGATCTAGGTGAAGATTTAAAAGAAAAGGTTTTTTTTCAATTTAATGACATTGGAGTTTCCAACCTTTGAATGTACCCAGGTGACAAAGAGACTAAAGAACAAGAACAACAAAACACCACCTTTGCAATTTTGTTTTGGTGTTTCTGAACTTGTCTAATTGGTTGCTGGCTTAAATACTTTCCAAAAAACAATTCATAGAATGTAAAAGACATTAAAGTACTATTGAGATGGATCACTGAAAAAGGTAAATTCTGAAGTGAGGAAGCAGGGTTTTCTGCAGAATACAGTCAGCCTGTTCACCCCTTTTACTACATACTTGTTTTCATTTCACGTTTTTCAATTCTCTGCAGGCTCTGTTACTGAAATCTGACTCCAAATGCAAGGTGATGAACCCACAGTTATGTATCAGTTCTACAGAAAAGTAGATAAGGGTTTTTATGAATCACAAATTGAATGAGTTAACAGTAGGTTATAGAAAATAAATAAATGGTTACTATCCTTATCGTTTATCAACCTTTGTAAAGGCAACAATTGGATATATGTATTAGTATTCATGTTTTGTTTCCATTATTGAACTTTGCTTTACTGGTCATTGTGTTGGGTCTTAAAGGTGCACTCTCAGAATAGTGGAAACAGTACGAGTTCAACACCATCTAGGAAACCTCAGTCGTCTGCACCCAAAGTCCGCAAGAGTGTCAGCAGTCGGATACACGAAGCAGTGAAGGCCATCGCGCTGTGCCACAATGTGACCCCAGTATATGAATCCCGGGCTGGTGTGTCTGGAGAAACAGAATATGCAGAGGTGGATCAGGACTTCAGCGATGAAAATCGAACTTACCAGGCTTCCAGCCCTGATGAGGTTAGTATGCAAGGGTGAAAAAATTAATATCTCATACAGAACAGGATAAGCTAAGTTAAAAGAGCAGAACTGTGAAAGAAGAGTGTTTTGGGATGGGGTTTCTTTAAAATTAGCAGTAATCTGGTTGTTTTTCCTCTGCAGCTGTAGGAGAGATCTGATGTTTCTTTGTTACATAAAAATGTTTTCAATTATTTGACTAAAAGGTCTGTGAAGTCAGTGCTTTGGGATCAATGCTGTGTTGAGTATTGCAATTAAAGTTATTAGGTATATTCTCACAATGTTAATCCGTGTATGAATCATAGCATAATCATACAAAAGAGAATATGAAACTGCTTTAAGTGATGGACAACGAGGTACATTAGCCAGACACTACCAGTTGGTGGAATGTATGGATTC